TAGGACCCCACGCCGAGCTGAGGTTGTACGTGCTTAAGGCGAAGAGAAGGAGCGGTTGCACGAGTTCTCACTTGTTGATATCAGCTGTTTTCCCTTTATCACCTCACTCTCACCACTCGACGTGGAGAGAAGCAGCAATGGAACAACCGCACCATCAGGCAACCATTAGAAATGAAGTTGGGCGTCGTGGTCGCCAGGTGGGTTGGGTGGCGGCCGGACTCTTCACAGCGGCGGAGCGGCTGTGCTTCCCTCGCATTTGTTGAGTTCGCGAAGCTTAGTAACGTCCACCATCCTCGTAGGTGGGCTACCGATATCAGAAGACGAGGCGTAGACGACAAAATATGCAACGCTTGCGCCGCCTTTAAACAGTTTGGGCGAGCTCGGTTTACCTACGCAGTCTTTTCAGCTTTTACAAACAGGCAGCCCTTACAGCTCGAGGCCCCCAGTCTCTTGTCGACTGATTGTCATTGGATTGCTTGCTTTTGGATATCAGGAAAAATGGCAAGCAAGTACAAATGAATGCTCGTGCGGCAAGTGGCAGACAAAGCTTAGTTGCAGGATATTGTTATCTGCCCAGCGCCTGAATAGGTGTGAACAACAACTGAACTGACCCATGAATGCTTCACTTCTCGAAGTCAGGTCAAAATGTCAGATTTGGTTAGAAACCTCCACCTAGGCGTAGTTCGCCCCAATTAACACGAATATGGAGCTCGCCCAGTGCGAAACGCCTGCACTGTGCGCCTAAAGCACCTGTACGTCCAAAAATTCTCCTAAATTACAAGGCACCAAGCCGCGCCACTAAGCGGACACAAACTGTTTTTCAGGCATGTTTGAGAGAGCGGTAGTGGTGACGCTACAACCACTTTTTGCCACGTTTGCGCAAGAAGCAAGAAGGTAAGGATCATCAGGGACCGTATCATGACCCTTGCTCTTGTAGGGTGGTTGAATGCAGGGCGACAAGCTAGAATAACCTCTGTTCAGATAATCGTTCTGCAAAATTTCAAAGGCAGATTTGAGATCAGCGTCCGAAACCGCGTTCCGTGAGCTACATCTCATTACAAATGGTCATTTCGACCTGGCGACGCTCCCTAGCGAGATATTTTATTCTCGGGAGAGTGGTCGAGAACCGGCATTACTCTCCGAAAACATAATGAGGAGAGCGAAGTTGGAACCGCGTAAGCGCATCACCCCTTTTCCCGCACGCAAGTCGTTCCACATCATAAAAATTTGCAATACAACCACGTTTATTAAAAGTTGACAACACAAGGCACAGGTCATGATTAAACATCGTAAATTGCATAGAAGGTACAGTCGTAATCTCGCCGCTGATAGGAACAATCGGAGGACGCGGACGCGGGTGAATCAGCGACCGCGTCAGGAGTAGCAAACTGTCGGCGGCGCGGGGCCAGCTACTATGCGTCCTCTCACTCCCTACGCGCTCGACACGCGCCGCATAGTACTCTGCCGCCTGCCCATTGACGGCTGGCGCGGCGATCAGCTGATTATCGACTCGACGAAGCCGATTTTTCTCCAAAAATCGTCTTATTTCGGCCGGCTTTCGAGAAGGTGTGTTACTTTTTTTCTTTTCTTGATAAATTGTATTAGTGTCTTGCTCTTTTTGTTGTTTTGGTGTAATTTTTGTTGTTTTAAATGCTTTTTTCGCTATTGTTTTTGCATTTTCATGTTTCGTCTGTTTTTTTTCCCCATTTCTTCCCCCTATTTGGCTTCTTTTTCATTACTGTGTCACTGATGTGTTCCTGTCTTTGCTGAGAACACTCTCTGACACGGTTTTGAAGACTAGAGCCTTTACACCCTGTGTTCTTCAAAGGTGCCCACGGAAATTTGCCGATCCGGCTGGTGAGTATTTCAATTTATTTTTTGTTTATTCTTTTTTGTATGATGTATTCTTCATTACTATACCATTGTTGTGTTCTGTGGTACGCGAAGAACACACTTTGGCATGGTTTTGGAGCTTGTGTTTTTTAAAAATGAGCTTTTTTTCATGAGTTGTGCTAGTGCCCGTTATTTAAGGCGGTCGGTGAGTGTTTCGCTCACGGAGCGCAATAGACGTGGTATACAAATCAGAAGTGAGTCGCCACACGTTGTGCCTCGGTAGCATAGTGGGTAGTGTTACAGAATATAGTATACGAGGTCAAAGGTTCGAATCCTTGGTGGGCGTGCTCTTTTGCATTTTGAAGGCGAGAATGGCTCAGTTAAGAAAAGCCCTCTTCATAGCATTTTCTGATAATGCTAGGCTGTGTTGAACCTTTCAGAGAGCACTGCTGAAAAAATGCAAAAGAGCACGCCCACCAAGGATTCGAACCTTTGACCTCGTATACTATATTCTGTAACACTACCCACTATGCTACCGAGGCACAACGTGTGGCGACTCACTTCTGATTTGTATACCACGTCTATTGCGCTCCGTGAGCGAAACACTCACCGACCGCCTTAAATAACGGGCACTAGCACAACTCATGAAAAAAAGCTCATTTTTAAAAAACACAAGCTCCAAAACCATGCCAAAGTGTGTTCTTCGCGTACCACAGAACACAACAATGGTATAGTAATGAAGAATACATCATACAAAAAAAAGAATAAACAAAAAATAAATTGAAATACTCACCAGCCGGCAATTTTACGGGCAGCTTGAAGAACACGGGTGTAAAAGCGGCTCTAGTCTTCAAAACCGTGTCAGAGAGTGTTCTCAGCAAAGACAGGAACACATCCGTGACACAGTAATGAAAAGAAGCCAAACAGGGGGGACGAAATGGGGAAAAAACAGACGAAACCTGAAAACATAAAAACAATAGTGAAAAAAGCATTTAAAACAGCAAAAACTACACCAAATCAACAAAAAAAGCAAGATACTAATACAATTTATCAAGTAAAGAAAGAAAAGTAACTTACCTTCCCGAAAACCGGCCGAAATAAGACGATTTTTGAAGAAAAATCGGCTTCATCGAGCCGACAATCAGCCAATCTGACCGACTCATAGAGACAGGGCGGGGAAAATCTGTTCGCGGCCCATCCGTCATAGCCGTCATCGTGCAGGCGGCAGAGTACTATGCGGCGCGTGTCGAGCGCGTAGGGAGTGAGAGGACGCATAGTAGCTGGCCCCGCGCCGCCGACAGTTTGCTACTCCTGACGCGGTCGCTGATTCACCCGCGTCCGCGTCCTCCGATTGTTCCTATCAGGCGCGAGGATGACGGGACATAATAGATAAACACAAGGAGTAATTATACATACAGTCCTCATCATTGCGGACTGCCGGAGGGCGGCTGTGCAACGCGGTCCAAATGGGCGTTCGGCCTCGTTGCTCTACCAATGGCGATCGGGTGAAGATCGATAGGGAGCAGAAACCAATGGTGGACGCCGCAGTGCGACGCTGATTGCGACCCGACAATTGCGGTGATGTAAAGTGTATGTACCGCCTTTACTGCTTGGAGTGACACGACCCGATTATGTTTCATAGAGAGGCAAAAGTTTTGTAGTATCAGTAATGGAGTATAAATGTGCGAAAAACAAAAAACTCGACAATGGGAAATTATTTATCCCTTTCAGATATTATGGACGACTTGCTGGTTGTACACAACCAAGTTGAAAATGAAGTAGATATGCATCTTGCAGATGTTTATAAAAATGTTATACAGTTAAAGAAGACCCATATAAGGGACACGCCGTATCTTACTACTTGGAATTTAAAAGTAGTGAACTAGTAACAGAATTACCACAACATTGTACAACAAAACCGATGACTTCACCTTCAAGATAATCAGATTTCCACATAATGAAACTAATATCTCAAATAATAATAAAGCAGTTCAGTTATATACACAGAAGCACTTAGAATTGCCAACACCATGTACCATACTGGATTCCTTCATTTGTTAAAAATTAAAAGATTGTGTGGATATCGCACGTACCCTGTAAATTAATGGCTATGGGAAGAGTTTATATTAATGTAAATATAGTGGAATGATATACGAGAAACAAGTATTATTCTGTTTATAAATACTCAGCTTGCAAGTAAATATAAAAATGATGTAGTTAATCAAAAGTATAACTCGCACAACATAGGGAGCCGTAAATTTAGTCAATTTGGCTTTATTGCACTCCTCCCTTTCAGATTTATACCAATGACTAGGCATACATCATAGTATATGTACTTCATCAAACACTAACGTCTCTTATAACATTTCCTAATCTGATTTCGTCAGATACTAATGTCTCTCTCCGTCTCGTTAAACGTCTCTTGGCTAGGACTATACTCAACACGTATTCCCTAAGGTATCTGTATTGTATATCTAGTATACAGTAGGAGTGTGTCTAGTCAAAAATTCGACACTTTAACGCGCTCTATTCTAACTGCGTATAGGCAGCACTGCGTATCAATTTCCCGCCACTAGTCATCCACTTACTTGCATTCTTGCCTATTTGTAATCATCCAAGCCACCGGTAGATTAACACTCTTGTTAACGTCTACTCTCGCTTGAACTGGTCACACACTTCCACTCATATATTCCTTTCATCTAACTCTATGACTCATACATTCTTATTCGGTCCGTCCCTCACCACTCACTGATGAGCCTCGGGGATGGACCGAATAAAGTGGTTCGTCTGAGTTGAGGCGAAACGAACCACCTCCTCATTTAATACCTACTAACTTTAATAACTCCTCATTTTTGTACTTAATTGGACATAGCTGCAGCTCTCCAACCTTCGAGGGCAACCCGTGGTTGGAGTTGCTGCAGTTCCGTCAAACGGGTATAACCTTATAGGTATTATAAGAGGCGATGCCTCAGACACCAGTGGTGTTTTTTAGACCAGTGGTCTTTCTAACGTCAGTGACGTTTTCTATTCATACCTTCACATCTTTCTTCTCCTCTTATAATACAGAATCACAACAATACTTTATTAGTCAAGATAATTTTCAATAACAGTTAGTTTCATTTAAAACATTCTAACTTTCTAACAATTCGATAACACATTTCTTTTCTCTAAGTATCTCCATTCTCCTCTTCTACAACACGTGGCATCTTTGGAAATACGTTTTCCTGCGGACTTTCGTCAGTAGCATCACGTTTCCGACCAAAGCGTCCTTCCTAAGAAAACATCCTCTCACTCTTCATTACACAGCGCTTATAATACTTTCCAAATATTTATTTACTTCGTTCTTCTTGGAAACACTCTCTCCAATAATACTTGCTGTCCCTATGCGTAATAGCTCTTCTAATGTGACCATTCCATAAGATAACTTACCTTCCTTAAAAAGAACATTAGATTCCGTTTCCCTTCAATACTTTAATAATAATAACAAGAACCTACTTCTAACTCCTTCAGTTCCACTACGCTCAGTAAATCTTCTATAGGAACACCTGACCAGCTATGATAATCCCAACCAAGCTTTACCGCCAAGGTAGTGGATCGTATAGTCTTAAATTATTCTAACTTAAACAACCTCAGCACCCATAATATTCACTAATATATAATACTAACGATGTCTTTTCCGGAAGGAAGATTTTTAAAACTAATATACCCATTTTTTACCGTCATGTCTGGGAGTTCTATTTGTTGTTGGTGCAGTATTCCTTTATACGTTTGTGCATGTATAAACTGGAATGTCCTATGGTTTTACACTTCTATACATACTTTTCTAATTAAAGGCAGTTTACCTCAGATTTTCCATATCTCCTAGCTGTATGGTTTTATCACGGAATAATTGTATATTACACTTGTATTCTTTATTGTATTCCATGAGGTTCCTTTTTCCCCTGGAAGGTAAAAAACTCCCAGAAGCTTGAGCTTACTTCAGCCTATAAGGTTACATATTACACAGGTCAGGGGATCATACTTAAGGTAGCTAGCCTACCTACCCTGATGTTTCTATTGGAACCCATTTTACCCAAACCCCTCACCCACCCGAGAGCATTAACATCAGCCTTGTTGTCGTAACTATAAATAATTGGATATTTTGAAAATTTAGTCAACCCAGCATCACAACTGACTCACCGTACTATTTCGTTTATGAACTTCCTGGTTAACTCGGAGTTGCTTGAATCTCCTTATTTGGTATAGAAAGTATACGAATGTTCTTTGAAAGAACATGCTTATTCACTATCTCTTGTTGCTTATTAATGCGCACCCTTTGATCGAAATTCGCGAAATCGAATCCTGCTATCTATAATTACTTCTATGATTTCTAAGCTGCTAGATTGTTCTAAACACTTATTACATTCTCCATGAAAAAACAGTTCCTCCACTATTGTTATCGCAACTTCAAACAATTTATCCTTCCTACCTACAATCCTTTTTAAGGATAATTATAGTAATAGCTTGAAGCTATGAAAATATGGTATAAATAAGTTCGAGCTCAAATGCAACCCACAATTGCTCGCTAACATACACTTATTATTAACAATACTATATTAGCTTAACTAGATACCAAATACTATAATCTACTTCGAATAGTTATTCACGTGTCATTCTCATGTATAGGTATTCACCCCTTGGCGTATTGCTATAACACTAACCTTATAAAACAAAATTAAGTTTAATACTAACATAAACACATACCTCTGTGCGATGAGCTGAACGTCAGTATATTATAGCCACTTTTCCACGATAATAAACAACTCAGAAGGATAATCTCGGTGACTCGATGGGACTACACACCTTAAACAGATAACCGTGGGAATAACCAATTATAAATGCAACGAGCAACCGATAACTGAAATAATATAACATTAATAAACCTAACACACCTATACACGTTTCATATAACATCATAATACAAACCGTCACATAATTCTCCATAATTCAATTATATTGGTAATAATAATTATATTAGTATTAAACAACATATAAAACTTTTCGACAAGTACTTACCACAATAATCTTGGTAATAACCAATTATAATCAACGAGCTACTACGGATACCTGAAATAAGATGGCATCACAAACCAAATATACCTACACACAATTCATATAAAATCATAATCGAACCATCACAAATACAATCACTAATATTAATTCACACCTCAAATCTAATAAACCAACCTACAGAACTTACCTATACGCTATTAGACTGAAACGAGTTTCAAGCCTGAGCCAGGTTTGGCCACTTCACTGAAAATACAATGTCAGTACACTATACTAAGATTATTTGATTGACATTATCCACCAAGAAGCATTCACCGTAAAGAACATAATGTACCAAATAGAAAAACACTCACATGAATGATTAGAACGTCTATTATAACTGCTAAAGATAAAACACCTATCGTAAACAAATAATACTATACACTATATTATAGTAATACATAAATAATAACTTACATACGATAACATAATAAAAGGTACCCACCTGATATAGCAATAGATCAATAGACTCGGTCAAAAAAGAGAAGTATCAGCTTATTAACAATCTAAAAAATTCAACTAAATCGTTAAAATAATTATATTATTACCAACAACATAAAACTTAACAGACTATACTTACCTTAGTAACCTTGATTCAACAATTCGTTATGCGACGAACAACGGATACCTAAATTAAATAGCACATTAACCAAATATGACTAAGCACAATGCAAATGACACCACAAAACCTAACATCATATATACGATCACTAATAATAACGCACACCTTAGATCGTATACAACGCGCCGGAGCTAATTGCTTGCCCTACTGCGCACCTACCCCACCGATCGGAGGACTCGGACTTCACACCCAAGAAAAATCGACCCGTGCTACACTTAGATCGTATACATGAATATAGGAACAATTCTAACATAACAAAATAATAACTTACATTAAAGTATAATAGCACTTACCTGATAAGTCAATAAAGGATCAACTTGGACCACGACGATTGGACCGGAAAGATTCAGAGCCCTATAAGTTATATAGTTATGCATAAATTAAACATTTCTATGGCGTATCTACATACAAATTACAACTATAATATTTTAACGCTTACCTATGCGCCTTTGGGTTGCAACGAGTTTCAAGCCTTGACCAATTCTGGCCACTCCACTGAAAATATATGAAGAGTATATAATACTAAGACTGTTCAATTGATTGAACGATTATGATCGATTACCCTAGATACCGTAATTAACACAGTACAGAAAGCACCCGTATATAAAGACTAGAATGCTCAATTAACAGGAGTTATGTGCTTCATGATTCATTGGGAAGAGTTATTGATCACGATGTTTAGCACACCATCGCGCTATTACAGTAACCAGTAACCAGTAAATCTACTGGAGGTAAACATCGTTGATTTTTGTTCGATTTTGAATACGGTAGACAGCTTCCTGTGTACTGGACATATATGCGAGCAACTTTACGTTAATTGTAATGTTGTCTATCTTAACTTCGTTTGTGCGTCGCAGTCGTATTGATTTCATTTTTCTTCATCACACAGGGGGTCCGAATAGATGGAATTGTAGTATCGTCTTATTATAACAGGTCAATTCCTTATTTATGGTGCATCCATATATCCGAACCTACTCCTATATCTATCCACCGTCCTTATATCATTCTGGACTACTTGGTTAGCCTACGCGAAACAGTTTGAAGGAAACAGGTACGTTAAATACAAGAATGTTTTCCTTTTAGTTATAAACATTAAGCTGCTTATAGGTAGCATGTATAGACAACTAGATGTTAGCAAATATTGTTACTGAGATAGGATAAGATGGCTAATAGGTGCAATAGACTAGGGATCGGTAGAACAGAGCACACTTCACATTTTAGGCCTAAAATTGGATTCTCGTTTTTCCGCATAAGACCTCCTACCATACACTACATTGGTTCGTGTAGACCACCATGCTTTTTTGACCTCTTGTATCAGTCATCTTTATAACTTCTCTTTAACTTAGCTTTTAACTATTAAACATGATACCATTCTCTCTCTATGCTCCTCCGAATATTTCTATCAACAACAACATTACTTGCGTATAATTTAGTACATTTGCATGCCTTTGACAAGTACTTATGGGACTTGGGACCCTGCGCGTTTTTCTTAATTTTTCTCTTACTTTTTTGCTATTTTTGTGTTACTTTCTTGTCCCAATGCTAATCAACAATATCTACCAACAACTAAAAGAGGGCCACACCTCTTGATAAAAATAGGGACTAGCGCTGATGGGGTTATACAAGTCAAAAATGGCAAGAGGGGTCATTTTTTGGCGCCCCAGCGCTAGTATTTCTTGCAGGGAGAGCCACCCCCTGGGCAGCAGCCCTGCCGAACCTTCGGGAAGACTCCTCTCTGCGTATGGGTTTGACCGCTCATGCGCTTAGATCTTAGGTCAAAAAATGCAAAAACTAGCGCTTCAAATTATTACACAACAACACGGTTCACCAAGGTAAGGGACGGGGCCCATAGTTATAAACTAACAGAATTTGGCAATGATATCAAAGGATGCAAATGTAATAGAAATATATGTAGAATTTGTAGTATAACATGTGTAAACAATCTTATCATATCAAAAGTCACAGGCCTTAAAATAAACACTTACAAAAAAAGCGATACAAACTGTAATTCAAAAAATGTTATTACTGTCTAACATGTAATGGATGTGGACTGCAATATGTAGGAATGACTATAAGAAGACTACGAGATAGGATAGCGGAGCATATCGCTAATATCACGACACACAAAACACACACTCCCTTATACAACCACTTGTATAAATGTAACAAAGGTATTACCGTACATGTATTAGGATTCTATGAACGACAATAACAAAAATACTTTGTTAGAAAAGGAGGTTTTTTGGATTAGACTGCTTATGACACCATACCCTTTTGGACTGAATGATAACATTAAAGGCTATGGAAACATAACTAATGTTGGTAATCCTCTTATGTATAATAGAAATCCGCCTTACTTCTCTCTTAAAATAACTAAAGAAAGGAAAAACAGAGGAAAAAGTGACAAAAAAAGAAAGAAGTTATATTCCTTCGAGGATATTCTAGAAAGCATATGTAATAGCAATTCCGAATTAGAACCCATAGAATATTATAGGTTACTTAAAAAACTCCGCAAGAAAGAAATAGAAAAAATAATCAAGCTATCGCTATCTGCGGATTTCCTAAATAGTGTCAGTAACAAAACTAGATTGTTAGTATTTTGCCTCCTTTCTCATCTACAGGTTGATAGTACTATTAAAGAAAAGATAACAAAACCATGTCACAGTATCGAAATAAGGTTTAAGAGCAGGATTATGAACGAAATTCCATTTGGCAGAATATTTAACTCAACTATGGTATAAAGAAAATACTCTTAGGTAATCAAGGAAAAGAGTCTAATTACACCCCTATAAGAATAATTTTTAAGTACGATAACACGATGGCTAGTAAAATATGCAACTATAACAAAGTACTCAAAGGACTGGATCATAGCAATCTGGAAGAGATTATTAGAAAAGAATGTCTATGCAGTACAAATGCACTTAAAGAATATACAAATGCTGATCATGGTCATGTTATAACAGGGGACCTTAGTCTTATTAGAATGAAGCTCTCAAGAAAATTTTAAGTAAAGGAACGAAGTATAGGCCTGATACAGGTATCACCAGGCAAGAGATCAAAGCAGTCTACACAGAAGCAATCGACAAAGTAATTTCCTTTTTCAAGTCAAAATATAAGATAAGTAATCACAAAATCAGACTGATACAGCAGCATCTAGGGGCATGCTATTATAAGAAAATCAAACCTCTACTAACCAACACCAAAATTATAGGACAAGGGGATCATGTCCCTAGTAGCATACTTAAAAAATATCAGGACAAATATATTTTCTGCCCCTTAGATAAAGCTAGCAACAACTATGGCATCATCTGTAAGAAGTTCTACCTTGTAAATATTATGAATGAAATGGGAATTGAATATAACTATTCTAATAGAACATTCACATATGGAAGTAGTAACAACACATATGAAATTTTAAGACGAAGCGATAAAGTGTCTGTTATTATTAACCACAAACTGTTCTGTGTCCGTAATGGTCTCAATATTAAAATCGACTCTGAATTGCCAACTATTTATGCTCTCCCCAAATTACATAAAAACCCCATTAAATTTAGATATATAACAG